ACAACTTATGGACATGAAACACCATGCAGAACATGTGCATTTAGCTACGATGGACATATGGTATTGTATTCTACTGATGAAGCAATGGGAAGACCATGTGAATTATTTGTTGTTGATATTAGGAGTAGACGTAAGTATTAAATTTTATATTACTTTTCTTCTTCTAGATCAATTCATATAGTCTTCTATGTTTAGCCGAAGAGGGTCCAGCTAAACGTATCAATGTTACATCGCGTCAAAAACATAAAAAAGTGACGAGTTGTTTGTGGGGTACACTTGATGACTTTGTGGTAACTGGTCATGAAAATGGAGAATTAGTTCAATGGGATTTTAGAGTAAATTCTTGTTATTTTAATGCCGAACGATTAAAAGATAGAAAATTTTCTTTTTTTTTGTTCAGACGGGAGAAGAAACGCGAGCAGAACATCCTCATACATTACAAATAATGGATTTACAAACAAACAAAGATTTAACATTTATAGTCTCAGCATCAAAAGATTGCACTGCCAAGGTGAGACAGGCGGATTATTTTTGAACAACTGAAACTCTATTCTTGATATTTATTTCAATAGCTTTTCGATCTGGAAACATTAACACATGTTAAAACATATGAAACCGAAAGACCGGTCAATTCAGCTGCAATATCACCAACAAAGGATCATGTGAGTTGGCGTACTGTGATATATATAAAGCATGCAAATGATATTTCTAGTTTCTTATAATTTGATGATACATGGTGGAATGGATATGTATGATTTGTTTTGTTTTTTAGGTTGTTCTTGGAGGAGGACAAGAAGCAATCGAAGTAACGCAAACATCGGCACAGACAGGAAAATTTGAAGCAAGATTTTTTCACTTGATATTTGAAGAAGAATTTGCACGTGTGAAAGGTAAGGAGGACATGTATTGATTTATGTTCTGTGAAAAAGATAAACTACACAGAAAATTATATTGACGATTTTTACTTCTCTTACTTACAGGTCATTTTGGCCCGATCAATTCTTTAGCATTTCATCCAGATGGTAAAAGGTGAGTAATAGTATTTGAGATTATTTAGATATTATATGTACTATTTCACTTGTTACTATCTTCATATTATAGTTATGCCAGCGGAGGTGAAGATGGTTTTGTGAGATTGCAATATTTTGATGTTGATTATTTGGAGTATGATTTAACCTACTAAAAACATACCTGCGTGTATGTGCTTGGAAGATAGGCAGATTTTACCATTGTTGTTATTTTTCATTCTTGAGCGGTTTCTTTTGGACAATTTCAATTGTTTTACTATTTTGTTGATTGTGAGAGAATAAAAATGATGCACACTAACGATTTTTTTCTTATTTCTCTCGCTTTTATCATGGAAAGAATGCGTGCGAGTGAAACGCAGATTGTGGGTGATGAGTAAAGAAAATATTGATGGTGCGACAAAACGTTCTATCGAACAAAAAAGAGAAGGATCCACGTGTGATTTAGACCACTGGTTTCTCAATCAGCTATAAAAATTCGGCAAGTTTTAACAGTGTGCTTCGTGTATGACGCATATCTAAGAAAGACAAAATCTTACAACGTATGAGTTATTGAAACTTATCAAGTTCAGCTGAGTTAATCGTCCTTTTCACGACACCTATTTTACCTGTTGAAATTTTTTTCATTTCTGTTACAATTTCAACTTTTCATACAAAGTACAAAAGTTCGCGTCATTTACTTAAAAAAAAGATCTTCAATTTTGCCGTTTACAAATAAGGTGCGGAGAAGGTTCGGTCGAGATAAAGATGTTAACTGGTATGCTATCAGCATCGATGACCAAATCAAGTACGTTATACTATTGGACTGAAAGCGATAAAGTGCCCATCGCTACCGATTTTCGGTTAACATCGGCGGATCAAAGAAAACGGCCTTTTTTTTATAAATCTTGCAATGTTGTTGTTTAAGTCTGAAAATTAGTTATATAATCTATATCTGTGAGATAAAGACATGTTTGAGTTGGTGAGTCACTTCCAGAGTATATCTTTCCTGCAAAAAATGATTACTTTACATAACATTTGTTACCAGCTACTGTTCAAAATCGTCCTTCTCTCTTAGTGTATGAATAACTTGATTAAAGTGCAAATTTTGAGTGTAACACAGATTATAAATTGTAGTTTTAATGTGTTTAATCTAGTGTGTTTAATTGACTTTTCATTATCGATGTTGTACGCGCGTCTAAACAGATTTCTATTTTTCATAGGAGATCTAAGACATCTTGATTTTGCTATTCTAGATAAATAAATAGTGTTAGACTAAAAATATGACAAGTATAGTTTTACTTTTTGAAACTAGGTGACAGTTCTAAATTATTAAAGAAGATAAGGTAAAAATTGATTTTCTTCGTCTCTGATGCCATCATCATTATCATTACTAATTGACGAACAAGACCAACAGAAGAAAAATGTTTTAACATTACAATCTCTACCATTATCGTTATCTCAATCATTTTTTAATCTACCAATAGAGGTAGAAAAAATACGAGTATAAAATGTTAATAAGAACATCTCACGATTCTTTATCTTTTTCTTTTGAATAGTCAAGCATGACCGATTCAAGCAATATATCTCTATTAAAAACGGACGAATCATCTTCGTCAACAATTTCGAATGCTGAACAAGAAGAATCCCCGTCCATTGAATCGACAAGCAATCGTCGATCTACAAGAAGACGCATGGTGAGTAATATTTGTTTTTTATTAATCAAATCTAATTTATTATCTTTTAGAGTGTTGCACCTAATCGAAGTACATCATTAACACAAACAATTTTTAGTTCAAATACATGTGATGATATTCATCCAGCAGAAAAAGAAAATCAACAGGTATGTTGTAAATGTTGCTGAAGGTAGAAGAATAATTCTTTTTTTATTATATATATTTTTTTTTTCTAGCAATCTTCACTAAGAACAAATCAACATCGTAAATCTATCTCAAAATCAGGTTCATCAACACCACAACAAAATAGCGCAAAAAATAATAATGTTGAAACTGGTAAACTAGTATTTACATCGTCAAACGATATGACAACGGATCATAAACAATATTGGACAGTAATTGATCGTCAACCAGAGTGGTATAAATTAACGTTGCAACAACCATCATCATCCACAAACTCTACGTTAAGTAATTATCGAACAATCAATAACAATGCCATTCAACGAAAAAAATCGAGTCAAAATATGTCAACAAATGATGGAAATGAACTAAATCAACCAGCGTAAGTGACATTTGAGTGTAATTTTTACTATTAATAGTATTATTTCATTTTAGTGATACAACCCAATTAATTACAAAAGCATTAATGAATGATCTTGATTATGATCTTGATGATGATGATATCAAAATATTAAATGAAATAAATCAATATACAAAACAAAATCGTGTGTATTTCATGAATTTTTATTATTTTATTAATTAAAAAAAGAAACTTCACTTTTAATATCTTTATTTTATAGAGTTTCGTGAATTAAGCGAAGAAGAATTTGAAAATGCAATTATTGTATTGGAATTTTATACAGCTGAAAAGATTCGTCAGGCATTGAAACAACGATCGTGTGAAGGAGATGATATTGTTTGTGATATATGTTTGTTACCCGATGGTGATGAACATAATGAAATGGTATTTTGTGAACGATGTAATTCGTGCGTACATCAGGTAAGTTCAGAAAAAGAAAACATTATATTGAACTTTTAATTATTTTTTTTAATTCAATTTGTTAGACATGTTATGGTATTAATTCTATTCCGAGCGGTACATGGCTTTGTCGAGCGTGTTCAATACTAAGAAGACCGGCATGTCTTTTATGTCCTCGAACAGTTGGTGACTAGAAAATCTGTCTTTTTTCTGTAAATTATTGTTCTAATATCTGTTCTTGTATCATTTAGGGCCGATGAAATCGAATCCCAGTGGTACCTTATGGTGTCATATGACGTGTGCTTTGTGGATGCCAGAATTAAAATTTGCAGAATACATTAAAATGGTAAGATTTTGATATTTGATATATTATCATTTCATTTCATCATGCTATAAGCTAGAATATTCTCATACAGTGAGCATTTCTGATTCATCATGCGGACATGTAATCTTTTGCGTCGACAACCTGTTTTCAGATTTGAGAGTTAAAATCACGTATAAGTTCATTTTCTCCGAAAAACTAGAGGAATTTAAACACCCAGATCACAGTCTGTGGATTCGATCGAAAATCTTTTAGGAACAATTTGGTCTTACAGAGCAAATATTTCTAATAAAATAAGACATGTTCGAGCTCTCTACGACATTTAAAATCATCAAACTGTATTCAATTATCCATCAAACTGTATTCAATTTACGAAGGATCCTACAGCCATTTTTCTATTATTTTTCCCGAAAATTTCGATAAGTTTGCTGCGTTTAATGCTTCTTGGTCTTTGAATATTGATACATCTCGATGTGCTCTTCAGATGAAGCTAATTTTGTACTAAATGGTTCAGCTGGCTCGACGAAATTTTTATTTTAAATTGATTGTGTATTTTTTCACGTGTTTGTTATACTACAAACAATCAATATATGCCGTTATAATTTGACCGTATAGCTTGATAGAACTTTAAAATCCCAACTCTGAAAAAATCTCGGCTATATCTACTATACGCCTTGGCCAGCTAACGGTCCTCCTTAAATCAGAAGGTTCAAAAAAACTTTTCTACCTGATTAAATCGAGAGACATATCACTAGATGCAGTTTTTCACGCTGATCACGAAAATCAACTTTAAAAATTAAAACCTTTTTTTTTAAAAAAAAAGGTAAAAGTTTCAATTTTAAAATTTCATAATTTCAATTTCCTCACTTAGACATTTTCTTGAAAAAAATTAAAAACTGTGTTGATCGATAGAGAATTCAATTCTCTACAACATGGCTTATTTTTTTCAAAGTTGCTTAGAACAGGTTTTAGAGTTAAAGGAGTTTTCTGCAACCACTGTTTCGATGAGTTAAACAAGTTTGCTCACTATATTTTAAATTGCATCAAAAAGAGCACATGTAAGTCTATATATTACTATTAAAAATACCTTTTTCTGAATACCTTCACCTTTGACTTTAATCTTCTGCAATAAAACCATACAGAAAAGGATAAAATTCAGGCGTGAGGGGTATTTTTATATTTTTATTTGACTCGGTAATCTATTGTGAAAATCAAGTAGATATTCTGAAAGCTCGTTACAAACTGAACAACTTCCATCTAGAACATTTTCTTGTACCACTGCTCAATCTGAAGGAAAATGTGAAAGTCTCTGAACGTCCAAAAAGTTCCATTTTTTGAAATTCCGTGACGGTCGTTATTTCTCCAATAACTTTTGTATATGGGTCAACCAATTTCAATGAAAAATTTTTTGGTAGTAGAACTCATTGTTATGATAAAAATTTCAGAAGGTTTGCTTTCGCCGTTCGCGAGTTATAAATTGCAGAATGCGAAAAAATGAAATTCCGTCACGCTTCGCCACACTCTATAGTTCACAGGAAAACGGAATTTTATTAATGAATTTCGTTATGAAACGAGTTCAGGATTTTGAGCGACATCTGTTTTTAAAATAACAACATCTCTTCAAAGACACATTCGTTTAAACCGAAATTTTCAGATTATTTCTAAATATGGATCAAAGGACAAAACTTTTCGAACAAATTTATCTTCAAATTTTCTAATACGCATCATTGAATGTCATAGTTTAACGAGCTGATTTCGAATATGTCATTGGACTTAGGAAAAAATTATATGAAGCTGAGAAAACCCAAAAATAAATGAAAACCGGCGTTTTTCCATAAATCTACTATAAACACAGGACCGTATTTTGCGTATGTCACGCATGCATCATTGCGTTTCACTCCGAACAGCATGTGAGCAAAGTTTGACTCAGAAAAAACGCTAGAAAAATTTAGGAAACTGACTACACTGATTACATGTTTTGAATTTTCTTCGGGTGGAGCATATTGATTTTCTCCGATAATTCAAGTTGAATCTATCAGATTTTTTTCCTATTTACTTCTAAAACACTCTTCGATCGAATTTTATAATATTAGTACTATCCTTTTGAATGAACCGTACAGTCCGATATTTTGCTTATAACTTTTTAACGAAAAACCATAGAGAGCTGCAGTTTTCAGTTTTAAAGAGTAGAATCTGGGGGCTATCTGTTTATGGAAAAATAAATTCAGAAGTAGCACCTGCAGGTGGTAAGCCTCTTCAGAACTTTTTGCAGAAACTTTCTCACCATTGAAGAAGTTTTGGATTTTCGATTCCAAATAGTGAACTGGAGACCCTGGATGTTGATATACAATGCTCGATAAATCCCAGATTTCCATCCCTTATCATCCGGAAGCTAGAGACGTTCTCCACAGACCATGCTATCTCCAAATCTAGAGATTTGGAAATCTGAAAAAGACTCGGGACAGTGGTAATCAGCTATCCTGATCATCGTTGCATTATTTATT